ACCGTCTGTGAGATATTGCCAAATGCTTAACATCCAACTGGACTGACCAGGATTGTTAGCTAAAACTGCTACAAAATCATAGTTTGGTGCACTAATTGTCTCCTGAATAATTGTTTTGTATTGTCCTGGACGTTTGGTGCTGGCTAATTTGGATAGTAGGTCTGCTCTAACATTATGTGCTCTTGGAACATGCTCGATCTGAAAATGGTCAAAAGAAGAGGTCAAATGAGACACCATAAGGTTGTACCTTTGGAGCTGTGGTTCTTTTGTTTGGTAGCTTCCTCCGACTTGCTCGGTAATTAACTTGGAATCGCTACAACATCTGAGCTTCTTAACACCAACATCTTTTGCGAGCCTTAAACCTGCAAGTAGAGCTTCATACTCTGCTTGGTTGTTAGTAGCTCGGAAATCAAACTTAATTTCAAGTTCAAGCATCATATTATCAGGGCCTTCAAGGATAATTCCAGTACCACTACCTTTAGTATTCGACGAGCCATCGACGTGTAAAATCCAACATTGATCCTCCAATGGGATGCTAGGTGTGAGCTCGGCTATGAAATCAGCAAGACATTGGGCTTTCAACGCTCCTCGGCTTTCATACTTGATTCCGTATTCAGATAGTTCAATTGACCAAGCTGTCATCTGACCTGCGAGATCGGGCTTCTGAAGTATCTGTTTGATGGGATAGTCGGTCTTGACCATAATTTGATGACTTTGGAAGTACGGCCGAAGTCGGCGAGCCGAGGTTATTAAGGCTAGGATCAGTTTCTCAATAGTTTGATATCTCTGCTCGGTTGCCTACAAAACACGACTGATAAAGTAAATGGGAATTTATTTCTTACCGTCGGTTTGCATAAGTGTCGCACTGATTGCATTATCGGCAACAACAAGGTACAACAAGAGATCGGCATGGTCCTGAGGTTTGGTTAGGATAGGGGGTGCAGACAAAAAGGTTTTGAAATTCACAAACGCTTGTTCACACCGAGCATCCCAACAAAAATCCTTGGGTTTTTTGAGCAAGTTAAAAATAGGTTTGGCCTTTTCCGCCATCTTGGAAATGAACCGAGATAGGCTAGCAAGCCTGCCTGCCAATCTTTGTACTTCCTTATGATTTTGGGGGCTTCTCATGTTAATCAATGCCTGACACTTGTCTAGATTTGCTTCTATCCCTCGGCAAGTTAGCATAAATCCCAAGAATTTTCCCCCTTGAACTCCGAAAACACACTTTTCAGGATTTAACCTCATGTTGTATTTTCTGACTTGTTGGAGGATCTCTTCGAGATCTCGGATATGATTAGTGACTGATTTCGTTTTGATGACCATGTCATCGACATAAACTTCAAGGTTATGCCCAATCTGTCCAGCAAATACCTTGTCCATCAATCTCTGATATGTTGCTCCTGCATTTTTAAGCCCAAATGGCATGACGTGGTAATAGTAATTGGCTTGTTCTGTGATAAAGACGGTGTACTCTTCATCGGGGGGATACATGAGAATCTAATTATAGCCTGAGTAAGCATCCAGAAAGCTTAGCATGACATAACCAGAAGCTCCATCCACCAACCTATCAATGCTGGGTAGAGGGTATGCGTCTTTCGGGCAAGCCTTGTTTAAATCTGTGTAATCAACACACATACGCCACTTACCATTAGATTTCTTGACCATCACAACATTGGCTAGCCAGGTGGTGTACTTAATTTCTTTGATGAATCCTGTATTGAGTAATTTTTGAGTTTCTACTTTAACAGTTTCTCGTCTTTCGCCACCAATTTTTCTTTGCTTCTAGGATACTGGCTTAGCTTCCCTGTAGATGGCTAATCTGTGGCAAATAAAATTGGGGTCTATCCCGGGCATATCTGCACTACTCCATGCAAAAAGGTCAGCATTTTTAATGAGAATGGACATGATTTTACCTTGGAGATCGGGTTCTACGTGCTTCCCAATTTTTGTACATTGTCCTGGCTTCTTTCCAATTTGGAATTCCAAGAGCTCGTCAATGGGACTAGGTCGGTGGTCATGCATGTCAACTCGCGGATCCAACTCGGTCATCTCGCTCTTGCCGACATGGGCCATCATTGTAGAGCTTGTCATTCCAAGCTGAGGTTTTGTGGGAGTGATCTTTAGACTTTCAGCGTAACACTTCCTTGCCAATTGTTGATTAGCCTTGATGGTGATGATATGTCCGTTCATCCCCGGGAATTTCATGGTTAAATGAAGTGTAGACATGACAGCTCCCAATTGTTTTAGTGTGGGTCTTCCTATGAGGATGTTGTAAGAAGTGATGGCATCGACTAAGAGATATTTTACCAACACTCTTTTGGAATTTGCAGTTGTACCAAAAGAAGTTAGTAACTCAATAAAATCGCGAGTGTGGACTCGCTCACCTGCAAAACCTACAAGAGGCTCAACATATGGTTGTATCATGCTGTGAGGAATATCAAGCTTTAAAAAGGTTGGCCAGTATAACACATCGGCGGAGATGCCTTGATCAATTAATGTCTTCTGAACCTCCCAGTTGGCTACCTCGACCGAGATGACCATTGGATCATCTTGGTTTAGGCTTATGCCCTCGTAATCATCATCGATGAAAACGATAGGAGGGGTGGGTATATCTGACTTAACTTCCGAGTTGGAACAATTATGAACATTGGAAACATTGCGAAGATGCCATTTCCGAGCGGAATTAGAACTTCCTCCTCCGGCAAACCCGCCAGCTATAGTGTTGATGACACCGCGTATGTTGTTTCCTTCAGAGGATTTATCCGTGTGTTGCGGATCAGCGCTGTTTGAGCTTGGTTTGCTCTCTTCGCGTGCATTTGGTTGATGATAATTGCTCTGTTCAGATCGGCCTGGATAATTTTGATGTCGTCCCTGATATCGGCCTGAAAATCAGCCAGGCCTCTGCTGCGTCCTCGGAAACCTCCACGGGAAGCTTGGCCGCGTTGGACATATTGTCCAAGGTTGTAACATCCCGAATTTTCTGCTAATACAATGTTAAATATTATTATTTTTATATAGTTATTTTTGTTAATTAAAGAGGTTTTTATAGAATATTTTAGAGGTTTGTTACAATTTAAATTATTTGTGAAAGTTTTATAAAAATCTATTTTTTTACGCCGGAACGGGCTGTTCCAAAAGTGGAACGGGCCGTTCCAAACAAAGAAGATATATTGATTTTGAGGTAGCAGAACGGGCCGTTCCAAAAGTGGAACGGGCCGTTCCCAAAGATTCTCCTTAGCTTGCTTGGGAGGCAAGCTAAGTGAGAAGCTTGCTCCACAAGCCTCCTAACTAGCTTGGACGGTCAAGTCAACCAAACTATGATTCACTTGAACCATGGTTAAGGTTAGCTTGCTCCCTAAGCTACCTCCTTCTATATATTTGTAATTCTAACCTTGTACCTCACTTTTGATGAATGAAATATGAAAATTCTTTAGAATTTCTCTCTTCTCAAAATCACCAAAACCGTGGAGAACATTCCCCCTAGGTTTTCTCTCAAAGGCACTTTAACCTTTGAGCTAGGTTCCTCAAGCTTCTTCATCTTCTTGGAGTGGCCGAACCTCCTTAGTTCTTCTTTACCATTGAAGCTTCCTTCAAAGGTGTTCTTCATCATTTGGACGAGTCAACCTCAAGAGAAGATGGGACTAAGCATGGTTCAAGTTGAAGAACATCAATCTCCTTCAAGTAATTCCATCACTGTTTCTTCAGCTCTACCAACTCGGCTGGATCCATCCTATAAGGAGCCACTGATACCGGTCCTGCACCTGGTACCAGATCAATGCTAAACTCAACATCACGCATAGGTGGCAATCCCGACACATCATCTAGGAACACCTAAAGAAACTCACTAACAATCTCAATCCCAGTGATGGCCCTCTCCGTCTCAATACTCAAAGCGGAAAATAACATGAAGCACTCAGCTCCATCCCTTATCAACTACTCAGCCTGACCCGCTGACACCAACACCTCATCCTTCAACTAAGGAAATACCAACTCTCTCCGAGCACAATCTATAAGGATGTGATGGGCAGATAACCAATCCATCCCTAAGATTATGTCGATATCAACCATGGGCAACACAATCAGGTTCACTCGGAACCTCCTACCGAACACCTCTATCAGGCATCTCACACACATCTCCGACGTCACCATAGAAACGAAAGCCGGAGTAGACACAGACAAATCAACATGCAATGCAGATACCGATAAACCCAATCTCCTCACACAATCAATAGAGATTAAAAAAATGTGTGGCACTAGAATCAAACAAGAACAAAATATCCTCACTTGCTACCTTCCCATTCCCCTTCACCAGATCTGATGAAGTGGAAGCCTCTGCACCTGATAAAGCGAAAACTCTCCCCGCAGCTGTAGGCCTAGGTGGCCTCGGAGCACTCCCAGATGGAGTCTATGGAATCTAATAATCTCTGGAAAGGTGGCTTGGCATGCCACATCTGAAACAAACATTCCCCGGATGGGAACAATCTTTAACCACATGTGCTCCTCCACATCTGTAGCATCGCACTGATGGTGCTCCACCCTGGGGAGTAGTAGGACGAGGTCCCCTACTAACAGCACCCCTCTGAGACTAAACAGGCCTATCATAGGGTCCCCGCTGCTGGCCTCCCCTCCTGGATCCAGATGATCCCTCCTGAACACTAGCAGCCTTGTCGCTGCTATCACCACCCTCTAGTCTCTCAACAGTCTTTGTCTTCTCAACCAAGGCAAGAAACTCCACTATGGACATAGGGACTATGACCCTCTTCAGCGCATGCCTCAACCCCTCTGCAAACATCCTACATCTCCAAGCCTTAGATATGGCCTGAGAGTAGAAACGAGCCAGATGCTCAAATGTCATAGCATACGGGGGCTGACGCTTGCCCAGTGCCGGAAGGTCAAGGAAGTTGGTGACCTGATGATAGGGGAGCCGACGACGAAGCCCCGGTGAACGGCGACCGTAACTATAACGGTCCTAAGGTAGCGAAATTCCTTGTCGGGTAAGTTTATTGTGTATTAACGTTGGGGTAGAGGGTGTCACAGAGGTGACCAGCTTGGATAAGTTCTTCGATTCGATCTTTAAGGCTCCAGCATTCCTCTGTTGAGTGTCCGTAATTTCTATGATAACGGCAATGCTTGCTCTTATCAGCGTTGACCGGGTTGTGTGCCGGTGGAGGTAGAGAGATCAAATCTGCATGGTTAGCTTCCTCCAAAATATTAACACGGGGAGCGTTGAGAGGTGTGTAAAATTCATACCTGGGACCTCGTGATTGACGAGGTCTTTTTGATCTCTGGTCAAAATGAGTCTTGGATTTCTCTTTGGTGCTAGACTCTCCCTTTTCGGGGAAACTGTCGCGGACAGAGTTACGAAACTCGGCGTGCTCCTCCATTTGAATATATCCGGTTGCACGTGCTCGGAGTTCATCCATGCTGGCGGGTTGATGTCGGCAAAGACTATCCACAAAGGGTCCAGGTTTAAGCGCCATAAGCATGGAATGAAGGGCGACTTCAGGATTAAGGTTGCGTATTTTGATAGAAATGTTAGCAAAATGTTCCATAAAATGCCTTAATGACTCATCATCATGTTGTCGCAAATTGGAGAGCGCGACCGATGTGATATGATGGGGTCTACTGGTAGCATATTGGGCGGAGAAAAGGCGCACCAAAGTATTGAAGTTGTCAATCGAACGGGGTGGTAATTGGGTGTACCAACTAAGGGCAGCGCCTTTGAGCGAGGTGGGGAATACACGGCAGATGATGGCGTCATCATTTGTGTAGAGGTTGATTTGAGTGATATACGCATCAATGTGTTCATCTGGATTTGTGGTGCCGTCATAGCGCTCAATATTGAGTGGTTTCCATGAAGGTGGAAGAGGAACCTCCATAATACCATCAACAAAAGGGTGTCGACGAACCGTGTGGTGATCATCGACGGGACGACTAATATGGGTATGCTCGGAACGATGAGTCCGAGTTGGGTTTGATGGATAGGTCGGATCTGGAGAAGAATGATGCTCATCAGCGACAGGGAAGTATTACTGGTATTGTGTGTATGGGGTGGTTGATGTTGTTGCCACTGAGTTCTGAAAGCAGCATGCTCAGCACGCATTTGTTGGAGGTCGGCTTCATGTTGTTTACGAAGATTCTCCATTGCTTCAGCATGTTGTTGTCGCATCAATTCAATCTGCTCGAGTAATCGTCGTAGAATCGGATTGTCTTCCATGTTTGATGCGTTTCTGTATGTTGCACTTGTGGTCGTGTTGGTCTGACTTCGGGTTGAAACCATAAGGGTGAAGGAGGAAAAGTTTTACCAGGCCCTCCTTCTAGCGCCAAATGTACTTACACGAATCAGGTCATCTCCCTAACTCGGATAAGTCATCTTCCCTACTGGGTCCAACCGAGGTTGTATGAGGTCGATCAATAGGTCGAGTTCCTTCTCTCCGGTCTCCTTGTTCGGGCGTCTCGGATGTACCTGCAAAAAGGACTCCGACGATCAAGTTAGTTAGGGTTTCCAGTTTCACGTATTGGTTATATTATTACCTGTGGTGGTTGTCCGAGTAACCGTGTAACTGCTATGTGGTTATTTTCTGAAGGTGGTTGAATTGTCCTTGACGTTGTCAACCTGCCGAGGTGTCTCAATGATGTCTCCTGTGACATGTCAGCGTTTCATGGCTTTATTTCAGCTTGTCTGAGAGGTCACCTCGGTCAAGTTAATTTGTGGACTCGGCTAAGCTCGGCTCGAGTCAGGTTGGTACAATTGTTATTACAAAGCTAGTCAGATGTGAATTTCAATCACCAAATAAATTGAGTTACAATAAAGTCAGAATGCCATTCTATTTCACCTTTTTTTGAAGTAAATATAAATTAGACTTCAATTGTTTATTCTAATGAGTGTGATCAATGGAATGTTAAGGGAGGGATGCAACTAATGATGTCTAATTGAAGTGTTAAAAGGTTTCATGAGCTTTCTAAATAATAAAAAAAATGAGTATAGAGTAAAAAATCATAAAAAGTTTGATTAATTATTATTATTATTTTTATGTTAGGTACAAACATGTAAAAATTTAATGCTAGAACGATTATAATTTGAATTAAAACAACCGAAAATGCAATTTGGTTCCTTAGTAAATTTAGTTTGGAATACTTTAATCCCACCTATTTATGTTATGATTTTTACCAACAAAAAATAGTCAATGAAGATTTTACTATCCAACTCTATTGTGAAAGGGACAAAGTGGTATAATATCTTTCTAGTTACATTTGACAAGCTTTGAAGATGTAAAAATAATTGTATTTTTAATTAGAATTAGATGCCTCAAATGAATACAATAATTCGTATCTTAAATTAAGTTGATGTTGTAGATCTTAGCATGCAACGCATTTAGGTTCTCGATGTTCCTTAAAGATTAATGTTCCTCCTATTTGTGTGGCTCAATTCTGGTGCATTCTTAAGAAGTTTCAAATAGGACTTTTAGGACTTTTGGATAATATTGAGCAATGTGTTGTATGCTTTTACTTCTGATTTAGGATTTTGTTTTATTGTTCATGTTGAGTTGTGAGCAACCGATTTAGGATATTATTATTCATTGTTTCTCGTCTTTGAGTTGTTAGAATGCTAAACACATCCGCATTTAGGCCATCTCAAGTTGAATTGCGAGGCTCGATTAAAAAATGCATTTTAATTGAGAAAGAATAAAGTAGGATTTTTGGATATTATTGAGTAGCGTGTTGAATGCTTTTGCTTCTGATTTAGGATTCTGTTTTATTGGTCATGTTGAGTTGTCAGCTACCTACTTAAGATATTATTCATTGGAAAACAGGTTTCAAAATGTTTATTATAGAAGAATATATTCTTAAGTTGTTATTGGTCTTCTTACTTGTACTTGCTATTGGCAAAACGATTGGATTGACCCAACAAATAAAATAGACAAGATGTCTTGATCCATTTTATTGGCAAAAAAAAGAAAGAAAAAGTTTGTATATTTATTTTAAATATCTATTTTAATATGTACATATATTTGTTTCAATATCTAAAGAACTCATATAAATTAGTGTATTTAAATAATAGAATAAATCTCAAAATATAATATATTTGCTTTGACTTGTTACGCAACAAATTTTAATTTTGCTACATAATAAAATAGACATGTAATAATAATAATAATAATAATAATAATAATAATAATAATAATAATAATAACTCTTCCAAAAATTTGTTTCACAAAAAAATATCAAGTTACATAAAATAAATTAAATCATATGCATAATATACATGATGGACAACAAATTACAAATTACTCACATAATAATTTTTATGTGACTTATTTAAACTTAACATTAATAATAATAATAATAATAATAATAAATAAAATAAATAAATGACGAGACAATCCACCCCAACTAGCTATTTGATTTTGAACCAATGAGCTAACGGGTTAAAATGTCCAACCTAATTAACCAACCAATTTTCAATAGGCCAGTGAATCGGATCCATTTTACCTCCCCTATACTCATCCAATTACCCTGGCTATGGGTTTGATTGTATGATTATTGATTTAATTGAGGAAAAAGAAAATATAGAGTGGACCTATGTCTTGTTAGAAGCTAATAAATACTTTTGCTTATTGTCTTTCATAATGGACAAATGAGAGATTTTGAGTTTGTTATTGTTTATGTTTTTAACGTCGTATTAGGTCATTCATAAAGCGAAATCTTAAAATTCACAAGTTATTTGGAATATTTGATTGAGTCTAGATTTTCATGTTTATAATAACCTCAATTCCTTTTTATCTAATCACTAAGCTATAGTGGCTTATAGAAGCACATGTGCTTCCATTTTTTTAATTAAAAAAAATATACAATAATATTCTAAAATTTGATGTTGATTTTTTGTTACATTATATCCTTTAAACGGAATACAGTAAACCATTTCAAAGAAAAAATTAACATCATATAGTAAGAGATAGAACGTGTATTTGTTATAACATTGTATAATTATTTTTTAATATAATTTTATACATGAATACTTGTATAAATAGAATTTATTGTATATTTTGTACTCACTAACTTTCTAAATTTTTTTATTCTCTTTCATTTTGTCTCTTAAAATTCATTCTCAAGCTAATTTTATCTATTTTCAATTATCTCTTTGATTTGTTTTCATTCAATATAACTAAATCAAAACCAATTTAATTCCTATTTTAATTTCATGTCAAATTTTCAACGTCTTCTATGAATCCAAAATTTCAAAATTCTCCACATTTACCACATCCACAAAATAACACGAATATAAACAATTTTTAGTTTCTATATTCATTTTCATATGGATATCTCATGTTTCAATCACTACCAATTAACATCAAAATAGATCATGACACTTCAATGGATGACACTTCAATGGATACTAGTGAAGGTCAATCTTGTGAAAGAGATCTAGAAACACCGTTTGAGTTTGCATTTGAATCTCAAGTTTCACTATTTTTAACTTAAATTGAGTTGGATAATGTTACTTTTAATGAAGAAAAGAAAGAAGAGTCAACTTGTAAATAACAAAGAGCAAGGTTCAATATGGAAGAATATAAATTTCTCATTTGATTATGGTTAAATATTTTGAAGGATCTAGTTATGGGGGTAAATAAAAAAGAATTGTCCTTTTGGTCGAAGATTAAAAAGAATTACAATGAATATCACGGTCACTTACAATTAAGGAAAACAATAGAATTGAAACGTTGATGACAAAAATTGAATAAAATTATTCAAAAATTTGCCAAATGCTACAAACACTTCTCAAAAGAAGAAGAGTGGTAGCAATGAGATTAATATCATGTAAATTACATATAAAATCTAATTAAGTTATTTTTTTTATATTTTGTAACATGAAAAAATATTTCACAAAATAGTAAAATAAAAAATTTCTTAACTTATAACTTAATAAAAAAATTAAGTTAATAAATAAATGATTGATAATATGCAAAAAAAAAAAAATATATATATATAAAAAAATTGTGAAACCAATTTAAGAATTGAAAGAGAAATATTAGATTAGATAAAAAATATTTATAAAAATACTTAAATTTAAAAAAAAAGTAAAATAAGTAATGTATACATATAAATCCACTAAAGAAGTGATCTCCTTTAAAAATGATCGTAATAGATATAAATTTTATCATATTTTTACACGAGTTTTAATGTTTACTTTAAGTGTGTGTTCCTTTAATAAGACGGAAGACTAATTAGAATATTAAAACATTATCCCCATTTTTGTCTAATAAGACGTTCATTAATTACAAAGCAAACACTTCATGCACAAAGCTAATAATAGAATTGGGCATAATATCCGAGACATAAATATGTTTTAAGCAACACGTTTTCTAGCTTTATATTTATTCTATGTCATATAAAATGCATGCACAAACTTTTACCATAAATAGTAATTCATATAATGCATTTATTTTTAAGAAAATATTGAATTTAAAAGAGTTAATGTATATAAGAACTTTTTATAAAAAAAAAAAAAAAAAAAAACTCTATTATAGCATGAACATGACTAACTTGAGTAAAAAAAAATAGTTACTAAAATAAAATTATTTGCGACCTGAAGGTAAAAAAAAGAAAGTTGACTAGAGAACAAAAGAAAGCAATGCGAACTGCATGGAGTACACATGGCAATCTCTGAGATTAGTGGAAGCCTATCTGTCAGTTTCTCATAAACACAGGAAGCCAACTATTACTCCAATTACATAAAAATAAATAAAAGCAATGTAATTCTCTGTTTCTTCCTTCTCTCGATAAGTAACACGTGACACGCGGTTTTCATTCCCTCACGCACTTACTCTCGGTTACTCTTTTAAACGTGTCCAAACACTCCTTCTCTCCCCTCTATATAATACGCAATTCAATCGCTCTGAATTCCAACCGTTTCGGCACACTTGATCCCATGGCGATGTCCATAAGGCCACCAGCACTGACATTGGCGATCCTCGTCATTTTCGCCACCGTCGCGTACGGCGGATTGGTCGGGGGGAGGACGGAGATCGCGGGCGTGAAGACGAACAAGGCGGTGCAGGAGCTAGGGCGGTTCTCGGTGGAGGAGCACAACCGGAGGCTCAAGGATGAGGAGGAGGTGAAGTTCGTGGAAGTGGTGGAGGCGCAGCAGCAGGTGGTGTCTGGGATCAAGTACTACTTGAAGATATCCGCCACGCAGGCTGACGGAGGTTCCAGAATGTTCGATTCCGTTGTGGTGGTCAAGCCGTGGCTCCGTTCCAAGCAGCTTCTCAACTTCGCTCCTTCCGCGCTGTAAGCCGTAATCGATTATGGTTCCGACTATTGTTAATCAACTCATTGTAATAACATGCTACGTGCCTTCATTAGCTTAATTGTAGTTTGGAATCACTAATAATTGTAAACGGTAAATCTTGTTGAATAGAAAATATACAAAATTCTGATTTAAATGAGCTAATTAACGACTACGGTGGTTAAGTTTTATTAAAATGAATTTAACCCAAACCAATTAATTTATATGACCTGTTAAGTTTTATTAAAATGAATTTAACCCAAACGAATTAATTTTTATGACCTGTTCACCGGAAAAAAAATTGTATTGATTTCGTAATTGCAATGATTTTCCTTTATTCTTTTCTCATTTTGTGTTTTTACTATTATATACCTTCCATTACACAGGGTTTGTTAAACAGGAGAATTGGTGCTACGAGTATCAATTCTGAAAGTTCACGTTCACATACTGTTTTTACTTGTGTGGTTGAATCTCGATGCAAGGTGATGCACTCTTCTCTCGTGGCTAGGAGATTGTTCAATAATATAGTTTTTAATTATATTAGAGAATTTTTTATTATGGATAGTATGTAGATAGGAAGGCCAGACATTTAACAATCTTTAACTAGACAAATTTTAGAAAAAAACAATGTTCTATATTGGAATATGAAAAACTAGCAACCTTGAATTTATGCTTTTCATTTCTCCTGTTTATCAAGAGAACTTCTGTTTGCCAGATATTTCTCTGCCTCACAATAGAATTTGTAAATAGAAGATGTATTGAAGTGAGTTCATATTTTCACTTTACAGAGCCCTGCAGATGGTGTAAGCAGATTTAGAACAAGCAAAATAAATCTTGTTGATCTAGCTGGGTCAGAACGGCAAAAATTAACAGGTGCAGCAGGAGACCGTTTGAAGGAAGCTGGCAATATTAATAGATCACTTTCACAGCTTGGGTATGGTTTAAAATGTGTTTCTATACATTGATATTTGATATCAGAGTTGAAATACAAATTACAATCAATCACAAATAATGAATAGCTTTAACTTTTGCGTACCATATTTAATGGAAAACATAAAGAAAAGATGAATTCAGCTTTAAGAATGGTCAATTGGCAGAAACTGAGAGCAAAATGGGAATCATGAATGTAGGATAATAGTCATGTGCTGAGTATTTTTCATGGGAAGGATGGAGGGTTAACATAGGGAGTTCATT